TTTTGCCGGACAGGGGAGGTCATGACGGTTGCCTAACGGACTGTGCCCAGAGGACCACGACCCGAACAGCTCTTGGGTCATGTGGTTGTCACACTAGGCGAGAATGTTGTCCTAGTTGAACTTTAAGGCGTGGTCGGAGCCCACCACATGAGCTGTGGTCCGAGGGCTAACGTCATTCCGTACCGCTGTCGCATGTTTAATCATTCGCATCAAGAGTAATCTGAGTTTCAAGCGTGCATGCCATGTCTGCAACTATGCCATATCGGATAAACGACTCCAAATGTTTCCTGCCGTGGCAGTGTGTTTGTCGGCCCCTGTATGACGTCAGATGGTTGCCCGTGGTCTGCGTGCAATACGGATTGCGACTGGCCTGAGAAGGCAACCTACGGTCTCCAAGACGTTCTTGAAGCATGGGGTCATTGTCCAAGATCTCGTTTGCGCACGCACTTGTTGGTGGGATTGCATGGGTATTCATTCACGTTGAATACCAGCCAAAGGTGTCGTATTTATGCAATATTGCCTCCAGGTTCATTGCAATGCGTCTCGGCACACTGATCTAGCACTTTTTTGTAAATACGTCGGTCGCTGATTGAATAGCTGCCTTTGAAACTCGGTGTTCCCTTCGTATTTTCTGTTCTCTCGAACACTAGATCGCAGTGGCTCAAGTTAATGAGGGAGACCCTTACAGTTACGATATTCAGGTCCGGTTCCGTGTGGGAAAAGAAGTGGAACGCCAGGTGGGCGGGATAGTTTATTCTGTGCCGAGGTAGCGGAGAATAGGTTGGAGACAGTCAGACGAGCGTGCATCTCCACCCGAAATGAGCAGCGTCCGAAGTGTGAGGGCGCGACAGTTGTCACAGCTTCTACTGCGCGATCTTTGCATGAGTCAGTCTTGAGGGTGATTGGCCAGCCTGGAATTGGGATAAGCGGGCACTGGTGCATGTGCACTTTGTAGCAGCCGTGAGAGGTTGAGCATTTGCGCGGCGTGTGATCACTGCAGTTCGACCATCAGTTTCGATAATTTTCAACATATGCTCCAAAGAGGGTGGAGCAGGGACGGTGACTTGAGCGTGGATTAGTTTTAAGTGATAATAGGCTTGCACTGCATCTGCCGCACTCTCTCTTCTCTCACTCATCTGTGCCCGGTGTCAAGAGAGAGTCAAGAAAACCGAAGGCGGGTTCGGGGGCGGATGCCTGGCGCGGCCGAAGGCGCCCCCTATGTGTGTCATCACGCCTCCCCATGTTCGGCATTTGGTATGGGAGCGCAATCCGAATAACATCTGTCGTGTTGGTCCAGCGCATTTACCGCACAGACCTTAATCTGATGCGTACCACACACCTGTGTGGCAAGAGTTAGGGCTTGGTATAATCGTGGCGCGTGTTGTGCGTCAGCGTGGTCCCCCTTTCGGGCCAACACACATGCTGTTCCGCCTGCTCGGGGGACTATGCACGTTAAACATAGACACCAATTCACACGGCTCTAACCAGCAAGGAGAGGGGGGAGGCAGTTGGCGGTGCTAACTTATTGGTTTTCTGCAGGGCAGTCTGGCTGATGGACGCTGACTTCTGAAACCATCTTGACAGGGGGGGGATCAGACTACGGGCATCGACATAACACAGTCGACTAACGGCTGCGCGCGCAAAAGCCGTCTCAGGCAAAAGTAGCTTATGTTACATCTGGAGGCCGGATTTTGAGTGAGCTTCATGTCGGCTGTCTGTAAAGGTGACACTCTAGAAAAATGACAACTTAAGTAGTACGCATTTTCCCGTCGATTTTCGATGCTCTTAGCAATTTACTTATATGTTATAGAAAGCATACACGAAAATATTCTTGCTTGTGCCTATTTGCTAGAAAAGTACGTCTAATTCAATGCTTTACGTAAAGAACGTGAATATGGCTGTTTTCAAAATATTTGTAATTACGAGGTTTTGTTAAGGCTGTGAGATGTCCATTCAAAAAGCAACATATTTGTCCATTTATAAATGTTACTTATAGAGTACAGAACCAGTTCCACATCCAATAAAATTGTATGGCCATTCTGTGATGTGAGAAATTTGTGAATTTCTTTCAATGGAATGTATACAGCATATAATTGGGAAATTCTGAAGAAAAATATAGTGGCAGATCGAATTAAAACTGAAAATTGAAAGTTGTGGAAAGTTTTTTTTAACCGAAAGATACCCTTCCCTCAAATATCAATTTTAAAGAAGACTTTTTTCCGCCAAGTATGTATAACGAATACTATTTTCTATAATATATATTTTAATTTATAAGGGCACCGAGAATTAAGGAGATAAATGCATAATACTTAGCAGTAACTTTTTACAGGGTGTGGATTTTGCAGGCGACTCTAAATAAGTTTGTGAGATACGATGTGGTCCGACCGGATAATAGGCGATGTAACTTATCCCGACGAGTATAAGCTAGTTGATAGGATAAGGCATGGAATGCCATAATGCCAGGGAGAATTTACTAAGGTGGAACAAGCGTAGAGTGTAAGTAGCATGCAAGTGACTCACAGACAAGTGCAGTCCAGCCATGAGTGGGCCGGAGTCCAGAGTCGCATTCCGGCAAGTAGATCACCGGGTCTAGAGGTATGCAACCGAACAGTAGATCGTCCGGTCCGGGAGTGACTGAGCGTAAGCAACTCCCCCGAATCTTGTGTACTGGTCTCACCTTGAGAAGTGATTGGCTAGTGAGGCCAGACAAGTCTCGACCTTGAGTGGGGGCTTTGACTGTCGTGTCTTGCGTCCGCGTGGTGGTCACGCCAGACATGGCTTATTCCCGCGGCGTCCGAGGAAAGCATGACTAAGAATAAGGGGTCGCTACAAGTTCGTTCAAAGGCCGGCGCTCCGACGTAGCTGAAATATCCCAGGATTCTGCCGTGCGATATGTAATGTTACATAACTAATGTCTTCAAATCGAAATCATATACAAGGTCGCACATTGAATTACCCCCAAGTCCCCGAGTCAACGCCTGGTAGCCACAACAGAAGCGCCTATCGTCATAAAGCCGGTTTTTGTGCGCACAGAAGAACCTCGTGCAAGTTCTACGTTTATCATGACCAAAGGTTGGTTAACGGCATGCACTACTCCGCCTACATCTCACTATATCTTAGTACTTCCATCCCCTATCCACATCCCACTCGTATGAAAAAACTTAATTTAGCCAATCTATCCTATCAGTCCCCTGCTCCCATGTAGATATATTAGCATGACCAGCATTTATCGAACGCGCACATGTGCTTGCCAACTGGTCCTCTGAGTAAAACGAATGTGGCAGACAAGAACACCCACCTTAAACACATTCCCATATTTCTGCTGGCCTTGTCATTGAGCCATCATTTCTATGCGTAGGCTACTGCAATTATGGCTACGATTTTCAAAGTTCATAAGTCGATATCACCAGAGTCGTAGGGTTTGCAAATCGCCTGCCTTCAATTTGGTCGAGTAGGTAGTCACTTCATGTTGCGGCGTTGCGTACTGTGCGAAATTCGCCTCCGTGCAGGTTTGAGGGCCAAATGCTCTACGTATTCCAATGTGAAACCATGCTGTTTCTCTGCACTATCAGGTTAGGATATCTTACCATAACTGTACCGATTACACTCTACTTTTTCAAACTACCGTTATGAGGACCAAAGAGATACATTCAGGAATTGAAGAATTTCGCATAAAATCAAAACATTTCATTTGGACCCGCATGAATTTAGCGTCATTTTGCGAACCCTAAATACGACAGGACTATTCCTATTTAATAATAAACTGATAACTCAAAGTTGTGATTGAAGAAAAGTATGTGTGACACAAATTGGCAGACGGAAGTTTTTGCATTTCAATTTCTTCCAGTAAAATAGGAATTAAGTGCTGACTAAAGGCCGGAAAAAGGTTTCAAAACGAATAATTAGCTAGACCTGCTCCTCAGTTCTTTAAAGTCCACGTCTAAGACCCAGAAATTAACTGTTTATCAAATAGCGTATTTATTTACACTAAAAGATCACAAGAGACTGGATATACAGTGA